TCTCAGTTTTCACACCTATAAAACAGTAGCGTTTATGGAAGGAACATTTGGTGTTTAACAAACACTCATATGGCTCATACCAAGTGTCCTGCTATCTCAAGTGTTTTGCAAATAGTAATTCATCTCATGATCAGAACGCTGATTTGAAGCATCACTGTTTTATTGTAGGGAGACTGCTGCGCAGAGAGGGTAGGGCATTTCCCCAAGGCACACAGCTGTAGAATGTCAGTGTCAGCAGCTAAATGCGATCAGTCCAGCACCAGGCCACACCTCACCTGATGTGTATGACTTCACCTTGCCTCCGGTCTTCTCTGAATTTCTATAGCACAGTGACAAGGCCCCTTGGCGTCCTGCCTGCTCTGTCTTTCTTTAATTTCTCTGAATGGATGTTGGGGGTTGAACTGCATCACCTGCCTCACACACAGAGAGTAATGTTCAAAGTCCTAAACAATGATCCCCAGTGGACATGACTTTGCTTGGACATTAGTCCTATAGACATGCCATTCGGATACCATGAAACCATCAGGGTAAGTCCAATCAGCATCTTTTTAAGAGAAAAGAGGGCCAGGGAGATGGCTCAGTGTGCAAAGGCACTTGCTGCGCAAGCCTGGGGATCTAACTTCAATCCCTGGAACCCAGTGGCAAAAGGAGAAAACTGATGCCTGCAAGCTGTCATCTGGCCTCCACTCGTATACAGTGGCACGTGAGCTCCAGCACACACACTCACACACATCCACACAAAATAATAACCAATTGTTAGTTTTTCTTTAAAAAACAGAGAAAGGAGAGAGACATGCTGAGGAGATGGCTGTGTGAAAACACAGGCAGAAACTGGAGTGAGGTGGTGCTGAACCTAGAGCTGGCCAGGGTTGCCAACCAACACAAGACAATGGGTGGAGTCTTTGGTAGAGCCATCAGAGGGGGCACAGCCTGTCACATCTCTGTTTCAGTCCTCTGATCCCCAGAATTCTGAGACAATAAGTATCTGTGTCTTGAGCTACTCAGGCTGTGGTCATCCATTGCGGAGCTCCAGGAAGGGAATGAAAGGGACAAGAAAATCTTGCAGGCTTCAGGAGAAAGCAGCTTTGGAAAGCACCTTCAAGGCAGCCACTTTCCGTCCCCAGCTAGCCCGCCATTCTGACCTTGTTCCTGGACACCTCTGGTATCATTCTCATAGATGACACATATCTCGTAGCCACTCATCCAGGCTAGCACCGTCATGAGCTGCAAGCTCTGGGCTTGAGGTGGCTGAGCAGGCAATATGATGGTGGGTGGACATGCTGAATGGGGTGCCTGTTGTGTGACAGATATTTTTTTCAGTCTTTGTGTGTGTGTCCCTGGCTTGTGAGTGAAGACACACCAGCACCACAGCACACATGTGGAGTCACAGGTCAACTCTGGTGTTGGTCTTGCTGTCTGACTTGTTTGAGGCAGGTTCTCTTGTCACTACCAGTTAGCTGGCATGCAAGCTTGTGGGGAGTCTCCTGTCTCTGCCTCTTGTTTCATCACGGCTTCACTGGAACTACAGACGTGCACTATTGAGTCCACCGTGTTCTAGAGATCCAAATTCATATCCGTACACTTGCACAGTGTCTTAGTTATTTTCTATTGCTGTGGTAAGACGCCACGTCTAAGTTAGGGTTTCTATCACTGCAACAAAACACAGCGACCCAGAAGCACATTGGGAAGGACAGGGTTTACTTGGCTTACACTTCCACAACACATTTCATCATTGAAGGAAGTCCAGGACAGGAGCTCAAGCGGGTAGGAGTTGATGTAGAGACCATGGAGGGATGCTGCTTACTGGCTTGCTCAGCCTGCTTTCTTATAGAACCCAAGACCACTAGACTCACAGTGAGCTGGGCCCTCCCCCATCAAGCATTAATTAAGAAAATGCATCACAGCCGGATCTTATGAAAACCTTTTCTCAGTTGAGTTTCCCTCCTTTCAGATAACTGCAGCCTGTGTGTCAAGTTGACATAAGACTACCAGTACACAGCATGACTAAGACAACTTGTAGAAAAGAAAAGGAGTGTATGCTCCAGAGTCATGAAAAGGGGGCATGGAAGCAGGCAAGCCTGGTGCTGGATCAGTACCTGAGAGTTCAGCAAGCACGAGACACAGAGGGAGCCAACTTGGGCTTTTGAAACCTCACACCTCCTCCACCGAGGGCACACCTCCTAATCCTTCCTAAATGTTTCCACCAACTGGGGACAAATCATTCAAACATATAAGCCCATGGAGAACATTTTCATTGAGACCACCACACACAGCAACTGCTTTAGCCACCGAGGCTCCTTCCCAGCCTGGATAGCATTTCAAAATGCTTTTATTACCATAATAACGAATTTCATTACGACATTTTCATCCATGTATATAATGTATTTTGATGATATTAACCCCCCCCTTGCCCTTGCTTCCTGTTGGTCCCTTTCCTCTTCCCAGCTATCCTCTGCTTCTGTTTTCATGTCTCTTTTTGTGTGTGATCAAACAAATTTCATTAGGGTTGCTTACAGGAGCACCTACCACTGAAGAAATTGCAACAGAGATGGTGACTTCATGAGGGGGGGAGCTGAGGACTGGACTTAGAGCGCTATGGGGTTAGGAGAGTTGGACTGAGCTCTAGGTGGCTGTCCCTAAGCCCTGGTCCCAGGGAACCAGCACCCTCTTTACTAATGAGTGTTTCATGAGCACTCATGAGGCCTATGGCATTGTTGACAGAGCACTGGACTCGGGGGACTCGGGGACTGAGCTGGGATTCCTTTCTTGACTGGGACGCTAGGTCATTCATTTCTCCTCTTGCCTAACACTGAATGAGGATAAGGATTCAGCAGATTGGCTACAGGGAACTGTGAGTAGCAGAGACGGCCACTGGGTAGCCAGTGCCCTCATTACTTCTTCCAAGTTCCTGGGAGTCTCACAAATCGGCCTGGGATGATTTGTGATGGGTGAGCATAAGAGGCCAAAGTGAACTGTGTTGTGTACCTCAGCCCATCCTCAGAGGTTGGGGGAAACTTTCCATGCCACAGACCATTTGCCCTCCCCATGACAGCAGCTTTCTTCACTGTGGATGTCAGTCCCCAACCCCAGGGACGTTTAAGGAGGATCCGGGTAAAACAGTTCTGGGCAGGTTGTGTCCCTCCCCATGCTCTCCTCCTCCCCATTCTCCATTGCCTCTCCCAAGCAGTCCTCCAAATCCCTCCCCAGACTGTGTGCCAAAGTTCCTCTACTGGGGTGTCACACTCGGCCAGTCCATACTTACCAAACTGGACGGGACTGGAAGCTCCAAGTGGCATGTCTAATGAAAGTCTCTCACAATCCTAATGTGGCTGTCTAATTGTGCAATCACCAGCTTAAGGGCTTCTGGGTAAGATCACGGTGTCTATGACCTTGGGCAGAAAGCAGTGAGATGGCTGCGCCCTTGCACCAGAACACCCACTCACCACCTGGGTCTCTAAGCAAAGTCGAGTCAAGGCGGGGTAGAGAAACAGAGGCAGGCAGACCTAAGAGTGAATCCCAGCGCTCAACCTTTTCTGCACCTTCAACCGAGAGCCTTCACCTCTCTATGCTGATTCACGGTATGAGGATAGCATTACTTCCTGTGTTGATAAGAACGCAGTGCTCCCCAAGAACGCAGTGTCCCCCCCCCCAGCCCTGCATACAGTGCCCGGCACATAGTGATGTCTGTTAAAGGCCAATAGGCTGGAACAGAACATTTCCAGCAGAGTCGGAGCGTGTGCACAGCCCCGCTCTGCCGTTGCTCATCGTGTGTCTTGGGAGGGTTGCTCGGCTCTGTACGTACTTTCTCAGCACTGTTGGGAGAAGAACCTTTCTTCTTGGGGGTTTTCCTTACAGAGTCAGTGACCTGAGGTGCATAGCCATTGCTGGTTCCACCTTGTGTCCCTGGACACCTTGTGTTATTATTCATTCCCACCCTGTGTCCCCTCATCTTTGGAACTTTTAACTTGGGGCTTGAATTTTAGATTTAGGTCTTTGGAATGTCTGGCCATGCGGATTGTTGGATTTTCTAGCTGTCCTGATTGAAATAAGCCCCTTGGTTCTTTGGGTCACCCAAGTTTATACCCAGAGGCCTCACTTCCTGGAGATACTTTGAAATTTTCCCCATGACTGGCTTGGCCCTGGGTAGCCAGTGATGCCTTGAGACCCAGCAAAAACACTGGCAGATATGCTGCCTGCATCATGGCCTCTTGGGGGGAAGTGGAATGACAGCTTGTATTAGTTGTCTCACAAATGGACTTGCTGAGGAACAACAGTGGGATCTGGGGGAGGCCAGATCCAGAGTCGAGACCTTGAGGGCTCTGTCCAGCACTGAATTGTCTCAAGGTGAGGTGATTTACTCCCTCCGGGAGGGCCTGCCCAAAAGCCTGAAGTCCCTGGAAGGAAGGCATTTGCTCTCAGCCCCTGCAGGAGTTATCCAAGCCTGCTAAGTGGCCTCCTGCTTCCTCCTGCACTCAGGAGAAGGGGGAAGGGAGGGCGCGGGGTGGGGGGAAGCAGCACAGCCGTGCGAGCCCGGGGTGATTGTCATGGTTACGCTCTGACAAAACAAATGGCTCTGCTTCCTGGAGGCCACCTAAACAGCCATCGCAATGTTGGCATTGATCAAGCCAGCTGCCAGGGCGACCGGGCACTGGACTTGGGTACCAGAGCCCAGCCTGAGAGCCCTCTCCAGTAGCTTTGGGCACAGGGAGGCAGCAGCGGGGAGAGGCAGTGTTTGTCCTCACACGTGTTGCTGCTGGGACAAGGTAAGGGTTGGTGCAACCGGTGCCCTGCTGTGCAAGGACGAGAGACCTTATCCCAAGGGCAGAGGGGTGTGATGGACTGAATACGCATCTGTGTGAAAGCGCCATGTGCTGTGTGCTCACTCTGCGGGGAGGGGCTCAGGACGTTTCAGCATCAGAAGTGAAGATGTGACCACATGTTGCTCCTCTCTCTCTTTCGCGCTCTCTCTCTCCCTCTCTCTCTCCTATTTCTCTCTCTCTCTTTCTCCCTCCCTGTCTATCCTTCTCTCCCTCCCCTCTCCCACCCTTCTCCCCATCTCTGTCTCTTCCTTTTCTTTCTTGATGTCTGTCTTCTGTGTGTAATTCTCTCAGCGTCTCCTCCTTATGTCTCTGTCTCTCCTTATCTCTCTGCCTCAGCCTCCCATCCCTGCCACCTCTTTCCACCATCTCCCTGTCCCCATCATTTCTAATCTGTCCTCTAGGGCCCCAGGGCAGTCAGTGCTCTGCGGGCTGTTCCCCCTCCCCCCCACTGCCAAGCTCCAGGCTCTTGCCTGCTGCCCTCTGGGCGCCTGGTGTGTGACTGTCTCCAAAGTCGCTGGCGGAGGGTGCATTTTTTGAACCTCACATCCTGAGATCCTGGAGGTAAGAAGGTTCTGAACAGAGAGGACGGATCCTTAGGTAGTGGGAGGTGGTGGGAGTCAGGGCACCTGGCCCTGTGAACAGTGATTTCTGCTAACATATCAAGCCCCCGCCGGACATGCCCTCACATCTGCTGCGGCAGCTCCTGAGCTCCCAGGATGTCCTAGTATTTTATTCTGATGTTCCTGTCCCAGCCGGTGGCACAGGAGGTGGGAGACCAGAACCCACTAGCCCCTCCTCCACTCTGAAGAGCAGTAGGCATCTCCCCTGCTCCCCCTCTATCTCCACTCTTTAATTTAACAGGCAGCATCCTTCCTCACTTTCTCTGCTGGGATTTAAGCCTGTTTCCTGTGTCCACCCATCTAAACCAAGCAAGTTTTGGGAACTGGGCAGAGGCCAAAGGGCACGGGGTGACCTGAAGCTCTCCCACTTGGAGAAGGGGCACATGGGGGCACAGAGATCCTGTAACTGGGATCAGACTTGGGGCTGAGCCCAGGGGCACATAATGTATGTCAGCTATGTCCTGGAGAGGTATCGAAAGGCACGCTTCTGGAGGGAGCTGCCTCTCCCTGGAAGTCGAGACATGACACGAATGCAGCAAGCCACATGAGTAGATAAGGGGGTCGTGATCAATGTACATAAGCATGTTCACATTTCAGGCGTGCACTTGCAGTGTGCCTTTTAACCGGCGATGTGAAGGGGATCAAGTGTCACTGTACATGCATGTGTGTGAGTTAAGATTGTTGAGACTGTGCGTTGAGCCCGGCTAGCACGTGACTTAACAGGATCTCTCCCCAACCTCCCCGCAAGGCCTGGCATGTGGATGCAGTGCCCTCCTGCTTTGGGATGTTCACTCATCTCCAGGGGGTGTGCTTGGACCATTTCTAACCCTGCCCAGGTGATAGCCCATGGCTCAAGGCAGTCTGGGAACTGTATCTCTCTGGGGAACCTGTGGACCCCACTGCTTTCATGGCCTGAGACAGGCCAAGATGCCTGGCAGGAGGGTGGCTTGGGCTGTGAGCATCTTTCCACCCCAGCTTTAGGAGTTGGGAAACTCAGAGGTCTATGGCCTCCTGTCTTAACCACTATCCTGGGCCAAATGATGCTCTCAGAATGCTCGCTAGACACTGACCATCAGGTTCTGAGCTAAGTTGTCCAGGCTATGGGGAGATGCGCCTGGAATGCAACATTGTGCCTGGTCAGAGGGATTGGAGTGCCCACTAAGACGCCCTACCCAAGTTACTGGGCCAGTGTGGGCTTTGACCTTCTGTGCCTCTCCTAGCTGTTCTCCCCCGAGTGAGCACCTTCTTGGACTGGCTGCTCTCTCGTGGCCAGATGGGTGATGTTGACTATGTGGCTCTGGGAAGAGATGAATGGGCGCTCTGGGGAAGAGCTCTCTGGGCCCTGAATAAACACCGTAGGCTTGTGCTGCCACTGGGTTCAGGTTCTTGCTGGGTGCTGTGGTTTCTCATGGGACCTCCCTGCCAGTCGTTTGCAAGGACTTAGCTCCAGAACCCCGTGGCCACAAGCTGTCCTGGTCTCACAAGCTCCTTTTTATGGCCAAACTGGGGATGGAGCTTTGGCAAGGCCAAGTGATGTCAGTAGACATTCTGGGGGGCTAGAATTGGGTCAGCAGAGTCAATGGACCATATATGGCTCCAGTCCATGGTGGGGGTACACAAGTCTTTTGGTCTTGTTAATAACCTCCCAGAAGCCCAGCTTCTTTCCTTAGCCTCTGGGCATTTATCCAGCAGTAGAGCTGACGCTTGCCACTCTCCACATGCCTGTATTCTTTATGGGAAGGAGGTTGGGGCTGAGGGAGCTCAATGTGGGACTAAAAAGGTTTTCCAAAGGAAATGATATTAATGCAGGGATGTGAAAGAAGCAACAGAAGCATGTGGCCACGTGGGAAAAGTGGAGCAGGAAGGTGTCTTTTATATGGCTGGGCTGTGTATATCGGTGGAGAAGGGGCAAAAAGGGTTGGTTCAAGAGTGTTGAGTCAATTTTCGTGATCAGACAGGGTGGGGTGGGAAGGGGGAAAGAAATGAAAGCCACAGAGTCACCGGGTGCAACCTGATACCAGGTGCTGAGCTGGGTAGTTAGTTTCTGTTCTCAAGGAAATGAGGGCTCAAGTTGGAAAGTGTGGTAATCTCCTCTCTAAGCTTATGTCAACCAGTGCTCACGAGGAGGGCTCTTGAACTTGAGCTCCATGAGCTGGTCAAGAAGCAACTGATGGAGGCCTGAGGCAATCTAGGGCACAGAAGCCATTATATACATACGTGTGTGTGTGTGTGTGTGTGTGTGTGTGTGTGTGTGTGTGTGTTTCATCAGCTCACCTATTGCAGCTGGGAGAGGGTGCAGAGAGTTGGCAAGGGGGACAGCTTGAGATAAGAGCTTGAGGGATGCTCATCTCCAGTCCCCTGTCTCACTGTCTCCTGGCTCTGGGAATGAATTTGCAAAAGCAGACGGAGCAGTTGGGGAAGAGTCAGTGGCTAGGGTGTTCCTTGACTGTGGAAAACCCTTACCTTGGGGTCTGATTTCACCCCTTTTTTGCAGGTGTTTAAAAGGCATTCTGGGGACCCTGAAGAGCAAAAGAGTCAGGAGCACAGAGCAAGAGCAAGTGGAAAAGTCATTTTACTAGAGTGAGGCTAGAGGTTGGTCAGGGGTCTCCGCATCTCCTGAGCAGGTGCTGTATAGGCTGGGTATGTGAGAATAGTGACCATAAGAAGGGTCTCTCTTTGCCACCTCTAGATATGTTCAGACCACTCTGTGAGTGGAAATTCTTAGGTATAATTCAGAAAAGCTCAGAGGAAAAAATCTAGATAGGCTTCATGAAGGAAGTGGGGCTTAAAAGCACCCAGAAGGGCAGATAGCTTTGGAGAAACTTGGATGTGGGTGGCATGGCTCGGAGTTGAGGAATGAGCAGAGGCCAGGGCACAGAGTCGGAACCCATGGTGGCACCGAGAACAAGCATGAATATGCAAAAACCTGGTGGAAGAGTGTTTGCAATCAGGCCTTTTGAATCCTCCATGGGATCATGGTCCTGTGTCCATCTGAGGCCCATTGTAAGGTCTTCCTTTTCTGAGGACCACATGGGGAATCAAGCTCCTAGCCTGGTGACTCTTCTCATGAAGAGACCAACAGAAATGGGGCTAGAGTGGGGAACTAGGGAACAGCCTAACATGGGACCAGGTGCAGGCGCAGCCACAGGGAATAGGGTGGTCTGTCGGTTTACACTGTGGCCCCACTTATTTTCTCGGGCACCATGAGAGCCTCTGTCTAACATGCAACCTGAGACTGCACACTTGCTAGAGTCTAGGCTTAAATGTCACTCCTCACCAGGGCCAGGGGGGAAGCTCACAAACAGGAAGACCTGAATCGTATTCCCAGAACCAACATAAAAATGCCAGGTGTCATGGAAGGTGCCCGGCATACCACATTTGGAGAAGCTTCGATGGTGGGTTGCTAGGGCTTTCTGGGCCAGCCAGTCTTGCCCAATTGATGAGCTCTGGGCCAGTGAAAGACCCTGTTTCAAAAGGACATAGATGGTATTCCTAGCACACACACAATCTTACAGTTTCTTCTCCAGTGATGAAACACCATGAGCAAAAGCAACTCAGGGAGGAAAGGGTTTATTTCAGCTTATAACTCTCAGGTCACACTCCATCCCAAGGCAGGAACCTGGAGGCAGGAGCTGATGTAATGGCCATGGAGGAGTACTGCTTACTGGCTTGTTTCCCATGGCTTGCTCAGTCTGCTTTAAAAAAAATTTTTTTTTCTGATGGCACTCAGACCAGCAGTGGGACCACCCAAAGTGGCCTGGGCCCTCCCACATCAATCATTAATAGCAAAACAACCCTGTAGACCAATCTTACGGAGGCATTTTCCCAAGTGAGAATTCCTATTCACACCCACATGTGAATTGACATGAAATTGACATGAAACTAGCACGCACGTACACCCACGCACCTTTCACACACATATGCAAAGTTCACCTCAGAGAATACTGATGTGTTTATCATGTGATCTGCATGCTCAAGCGACATGTCAGCCTCTGCCCAGCGGTCCAGCACCTATGTCTGTTGGTGCCTCTGAAGCTGTTGGGTAGGAGAAGCGATGGCCATAGGAGGCCAAGGGATTATACCATGAAAACCGAAATCCCACGGAAGCCGAGATTCGATGAGAAGATTTACAGGGGATGCTGGCATCTTTTGTCCCACACAATGCCATAGACAAAGGAGAACTTGGACACTAGGCTGGTGACTGACCAAAACAAGAGACAACTGACAACAGTGAAGTATGAGAAGTCACAGTGCCATCCAATGCAATACTTGATTTGTTCTTTGTTCATTGAAAAGTTTAACAGACGATTATAATCTTACCCTGGCCCAATGTAGCATTCTATTTCCAAGTTTTTAGTTTTATTTTTCTTCAAAACAAAATCCCAGCTGCAAACTTTCTTCACTCTTTGCTGTGAAACCTGGTCTCTGTATTCAAGCGCCCATCTCTGATCCAGCCCTTGGGGGAGTCTTCTGTGGTCTGTGTTTTAAGGCTTGGACTTGAGTAAGAGAATGGACGAGTAGGGAGCTGTGGAGCTGGTGCGGGGGAACTCAGCACTTTTATCTTTTGGTGGCTTGCCTCCGAGCTGTCCACCGCCACACCCCACACCTTTAGTCCACTTATCCAACATTTAATGAGCCCCCGCTGGGTGCTGGCTCCTTTCCTGAACAGTGGAGACGCACTGTTGAGAAAATAAAGGCTCTTTCTCCGTGGAGTGCGCCCACTGCTCAGTGTCCTCTTCCTCCTCGTCTTAGTCCCCTAGCATTGTGGCTTCTGTCCCTGACCGTCACCTTAGCTTACAGACTGGAACGTTCATGGCTTCCCTAGCCAAGCCTGACTGTGCTGCAGTAACAAGAAGAATATGTTTGTGCCACATGTTCAAAGCAGGTCACATGTCATCACGGAGTGCCATCATTCCTACACATGTGCTTCCAAGATCACTA